AATTGATTTCGACAACGTCTTTGTTCTATTATAACTCTTTTATTTTTCTACTATTTGTAAGTTTTCTGCCATTTGTACTTTTTGTACCATTTGTACCATTTATTCTATTTGTACTTTCCATAAGTTTCTCTTCGTAAGAACGAATATCGATCGTTTCAACTTCGACGAAGTATAAACCGTAGTTTCCTGAAAAATGATTTCATTTCAGCCTCGCCAATTGCATCGCAACAGACTATAATTCCGAGTCTATAATTTTAATCGAGTCATCAGAATATCGCTCGGATTCATGGAAATCAGCGAACGTTCTCGTGAATTTTTAATTGATTTCGCGAATAAGGCATTACGTGTACCTACAACCTTCTACATTTAGTTTGTACCAACACACCTGCAATTTTCTATAGTTTCCTATTCGAACATATCGTGACTCTAGTTTGTCTGTAAGAGCAAATATTAAATATCGATTATTTCACTCGGCTTTGGCGAAGTGTAATTCATAGTTTCGTGAAAAATGATTTCATCTGGCCTCCGTAGCCAATGTCGTTTAATTGTATCGATTATTGTCAAGTCTAGAATTACAATCGAGTCATCAGAATATTCATTGAAATCGACCATTATGCGAACTCGCTTCGCGTCGTGGCAAGCAAATTTTCTTAACGTTGGGAAAATTGGTCTTTGGAATTGAAAACAGAATGTTGCTTCGTTGCAAAGAAAATAATGTGAAACAGTAACGGTGATTGCGAGTAAAGTAATTTGAAAATGAAATTACGTTCTTTTCAATAGTAAAATAATTCTCATGTAACGAATAATCAAGTGCCATTATTTACCGACGATGTGGAAATTGATTCTTACTTTCTATTCGCACAGAATATAACAGAAATATACGCAAGTTCAATTATTAAAACGAAGCAGGTATTCTTAGTATTTCTATAATAAAGTCACTTTCCTTAAATTTGGATCTGTGCCATTCATATAAATTTCCCATTGATTTCGGGAAAATGCATACGTCTTTTTCTATATGCTAAAAAACTGAAGAGTTTGAAAAAGTCGTAACTTGTTCATTTTCAATCTTTTTTATTTTCTTTTCTTGTAGGTTATAGAAAAAAAATATTTAAAAAATCCATTACTTATATTTCCAAATAAAATAATAAATATTTTAGAAACATGTATTTAGTTTGTTCCAAACCCACACTGCTTCTAATTTTTGTTCAATTTGTGACATAAACGAGTATCAATTATTTCACAAATTGAAATGCCTTTAGCGAAGCATGATTAGTTTAATTTCTTGAAAAATAGTTTCACTCTATCATCATGATAAATTTCGTTTCTTTTATTTTGCCCTCCGACAAATCATGATATCGAATTCTGCAAAATGCGGCCATCGTCGTATGAATTTTCGATTGATTTCAAGGACACGTGCAGGACACGACTTTCTATAGTTTGTTGCCTGTGGTGCAACATCGCCTCCGGTTTATGTAATAGCTATTTATAAGAACAAATATCGATTATTTCGCTGTTCACTATAGCAAAGTACAGTTCATAGTTCCCCGAGAAATGATTTCATTTTTGCGCAATTTGTCGAACAAGAACGTCTCCACAACGAGATTTATAGAAAAATTGTAATTAATTAACACAAGATATTCTTAACAAACTATTATTTTCATTAATTTGAATATTATTTTCATCGTATAAATCAATTTTATACGTATATATATCTATACGTATGCAATTTGAGCTAACACGGTTTCTCTATTAATTTTTGTTCTCGCTGTTTGGAGAATGCTGCGTACAGAAATAAATTCGCACCAGGTATTATTAAAGATACGTCGTTCTTAAATCGGAAAATGTACTATATATAAAGGGGAAAAGTAAATAGATACCTACTAATTTATGTTTATTTATTGAAACGTGTATCGATATTTCTGGTCTAAAAGGAGATATGCATAATGAAACAGCTGCTCAAAATGAAATATCGTGATCAATAATTTTACAGCTATATGATTCACTTATTCACATTTTCCGCTATATTTAAACGTGAAAACGGCTCTGGCTCGTGCCCGGTTTGAAAATAAAACATAAAACGATTGCATTTTCAGGTAAGAAGTTTTGTCAGTCGGTTATATAGAGTTGTAATCCTCCGCCAAGGCACGCAACAGTATTATTGTCAAACTCGTTCAGATTAAGA